GCAACTCCTAAGAGAAAACCTAGACCTAGTGGAGGAAGTCAGGGAAATGGCTCGAATTAGGAACATGGCACACCAAAGTCGTGTGGCAAAGTTTTATAATAAGAGGGTGCGAGCTCGACAGTTTCAGGTCGGCGATCTGGTTCTACGCAAAGCTGGATTAACCAATGCCTATTCGCATATGGGCAAGCTCGCCCCTAATTGGGAAGGCCCTTATATGGTTATTAATATTAAACGACCTGGGTGTTATCAACTAGCAGATTTACAAGGTCGTCCGTTGTCGTTCATCTGGAACATACATAATCTTAGAAAGTTCTACAGTTAGCGTGTATGTTATGAATGTTTAGGTCGTTATTGATCATTTGTAAATAGTGATATACTAAACATTCAGCACATAAACATTGAAGCAAAAGATTCGGATTTATATTTCATCAATGAAATTTTACATGAGTGATACATTTAGTAAACGAATTCATTGATTAACACAAAAAAGAGATACAAAAAGAACAAAGGTCCTAAGCTACTCATCCGTCAGGTCGACGGGGGTGGATGCGTCATTTGGCGCAACAGCAGATCGAACTGGAGATGACCGATCTGGCGAAGAGTGAGCAGGAAACGGAACTGGAGAGGGAGCAGTTGGAGTTGGAGCAGCGTCCGAGGCGGGTTGAGTTGGAGCAGAGGGGGGAGTGCTCGAAGGCTCAGCAGGTACGTCAGGGGGGTCTGCCACCCAAGCGTCGAAGCTTGGCAACCCATCCGTATCCTCTCCCTCCTCAGCAACAGAAGGGGGCCACACGGGCAGCCCCTCGTCGTTGAGCTCCCACTTCAGCTTCACCCTAGTGTCCGCAGGTGGGGCAAGGCTCTTCCCGTCAGCATCAATCTCCTCGCCCTCGAAGAAGGCCAGTTCGCCAACGGGGAAGTCTGCTCGGACTCCCAACACCCTACCACGAACTTCATTAAAGATGTCAGTGGTGGTGTTGGCTGCAGCAACAGCTACGGCGTCTTGGAACATCTCTGCCCC